GTTCTTTTCTTAAAAATACAAGTTTTACTGACTGCTCTGTTTTCTTTGTGAAATACTTGGTGATGGAAAATACATTGATGTAATAACAAATAAGTACTACTTAGGATTTTATAGCAATAGAATATTAAATATACTCTTATATAAGATAATTTTGTCCTTGAGTCACTTTGGAAATTAATCCATTGGACACTTGTGTGTTACATTACATGTTAGTAAGATAACTGAAAATTGTTGTATGTTTAAAATAAGGCTCTTTAAATATTTTTTTAAATTGTCTTTAGGGTCATTGTCTTAGTGATGGATTGGATGATGTCCAAAAAGCAGAAATGAAAGCTTATATGGAATTAGTCAACAATATGCTTTTGACTGCAGAGGTACAACATAAAATAATAGAGTGGAATAAAATCTTTTATAATCTGTGTTCTCCCATAGCATAGAACTTTCTTATGGGTTATTTTAAAGTTATTGAAAAATGGGAAAATAATAGATTCTAGAACTTGGGATGGTTGTCCAAGTGATTTGATAATTATCTTTGAATAAGTTACTTGATGATTTTAGTTTCTGTTTATAAGAAGGGGTGATTCTCACCAGTTTATTGTTTTACTTTGGCCTTTCACAGTGTACATAAATAATACCTGAACAATAATTTCATAGTAGAGATATGTTATGTGATAAGAAATATTTTTATAAAGTATTACCATTAAATTTTATAATTCTGTACAGCAACATTTTCTAACAAGAAACAAGAAACACTCTTCCCATCTGTGACCTACAAAATTGGTTTATAAGAAATTACTGTGGCAAGAAATAAGTTTATCCTTTTTTCCTTTGGTATTCTAAAGTTTTAGTGACTGTTCTTTTGTCTCCAGTTGTATCTTCAGTGGTGTGATGAAGCTACAGTAGAGGAGGTGAGTAGTTCTGCAGCATTTATCTTAATTAAAATTTAATGAGAAAACACTTTTGCTCAGAATCTCAAGTCCCTGCTCATAAATGAAACATTGTGGTTTATACCATTAGTGATATAGTTTTTCACTTACTTTAATTTTGCTTGCACGTACATTTTAGGGAAGCTATGTGTCATTGTTTGATGTAACTGGTTGTAAAGTACATAAAAGTTTATATATTTTTAAAGGGAATGGTTTAAAATTTTAATTTTTTTACATTGGATGCAGTGCATGTTTTCAGATGGCTGAATACATTTTCTTTGCAAATATATTTCTTTTAGAATTCTGTTTGTTGAAACATTGTTTCTAGGAAGAACCATGCTTTTTATGGAACCTTTTGTTTTAGATTACTCATTCTAGGTATGGGTCTCCTTACCCATGGCCGCTGAATCATATTTTGGCCTACCAGAAACAGTGGGAAGTCAAACGTAAGATGAAAGCTATTGGATGGGGCAACAAGACCCTGGACCAGGTTAGTTGAGGTTGAAATTGACTTTCACTATGTTAAAAAATGATATTTTTATATGCTATAAACTGTATAACTTATTAAAAACAACCAACATTTGCTATTATTTTGTCTTTCCCGAAGTAGTTTTATTTTTTTATTAATAGTTACACATACTTACTGTGAGACAAATTATATACTACAAAAAGAAGTAAAAACTGTCTGATATTCCACTGTTTAAAAAGTGCCTGCCACTCAGCTAGGTGCTGGTGGTTCATTCCTGTAATCCTAGCTACTCAGGAAGGAGGCTGAGATCTGAGGATCATAATTCCAAGCCAGCCTGAATAGAAAAGTCCATAAGACTCTTATTTCCATTTAACCGCCAGAAAACCAGAAGTGGCTCAGAATGGTAGAGCACTAGCTTTGAGCAAAAGAGCTAAGGGACAGTGTTCAGGCCCTGAGTTCAAATCCCACAACCAACAAAACAAAGAAACAAAAAAGTGCCGTTCTTAACAATTTGGAGAAATTCTTGTAGATGTCTCTTAGTAACTAATATTTTCCTTAAATGTGGGATTGTATTGTGCCTACTACTCCACAATCTAATTTTATATTCCATTGAGTGATACATTCTGGACATCTTTTATGTCAATAAATATAGATCTTCAGTATCAGGACTTAAAAATAAGGGGAATGGGGCACTGGTGGCTCATGCCTGTAATCCTAGCTACTTAGGAGGCTGAGATCTGAGGATTGCGATTCAAAGCCAGCCGGGGCAGGAAAGTCTGTGAGACTCTTATCTCCAGTAAACCACCAGAAAACCAGAAGTGGCACTGTGGCTCAAGCGGTAGAGCACTCTCCTTGAGCTTAAGAGCACAGGGACCAGCGCCCAAGCCCAGAGTTCAAGCCCCATGACTAACCAAAATTAAAAAAAAAAAAAAAAAGGGAGAAACAAAGGAAGAGGCAACAATGCTTGATAAGAAATGTACTCATTATCTTGTTCATGTAATTGTAACCTCTCTGTATGGTATTTTCACAATAAAAAAATAAAATAAATAAAAAAAATCCTCATTGGATATAGTTGCTAATCTATTTTTTTGGTCTTAAATTTACTAAAGTAACATAATTATGTCTTGTTAAGGTCATGTTTTTTTAAAATAAGTTTTTATTGTGAAAATACCATACAGAGGGGTTACAATTACATGAGCAAGGTAATGAGTACATTTCTTATCAAGCATCGTTGCCTCCTCCTTTGTTTTTCCCTTACCATCCCAGCCCTTCCATCTGTACAACTGCACTCCCCCCTCCACCTCCCAAGGTCATGTTTTTAAGCATCATTAAACTGATTAATCTCTTTTTGCCAAGGCTACCCCTAATTCTAGCAAGCCATTTAACTAATTTGTTTAGTAAATGGTGTGTTTAGTAAAAACTAGGTGTTTAGTAAATAAATAAGGATGGAATGAATTAGAGTAGGAAAACAAACTGAAATGCCCTTACTTGTAGTAGGTAAGCAGTTTCAATTGTATATGGCAAATATATGCAAAACTACTTAATTCAAGAAAATCTCTTTTAGTCTGTGAAGTTTTGAGAGTAAACCTGCTATAGTGATCCTTATCAGTAACAAGTGTATTTAAAGAAAATTCACCCTTTTCCTATTACATAGAAAGCATTATTACTTACATCATCTGTAGTCATTTGAAAATATATAATGAAAAGTTACCCTCAATTTACATTTTTATAAATTGTAATACAAATTAGATACTTTAATTGTTTTCCTAACTTAAATATTTTCCTTTGGGGTCCCTTGCCAATAATAGGTCTTAGAAGATGTAGACCAGTGCTGTCAAGCTCTTTCTCAAAGACTGGGAACACAACCATATTTCTTCAACAAGCAGTAAGACATTTTAATATTGTACATTTTTAGTTTCTTTTGTGTATTATTTGACTGCAAAGTTCCTTTATCACAAAGGAATTGGCTTTTTTGTGTATGTTTTTTTAAATTTACTTTTATTGCAAAGATGCTGTTACAGGAGAGTTACAGTTACATGAGTAAGATAATGAGTACATTTCTTGTTGAACATTGTTACCCTCTCCTTTGTTTTTCTCCTACTATCCTTTCCCTCCCTTACTTCCCCCAGTACCTCCCCCCCCCTCCCCGTCAGAAGTTGTAAAGTTCATTTCCAACATAGTGTCTTGTGAATATCATTGTATCATTGTTGCAATGGGTCATCCTGTGTCCGTGTTTCAGCATTTTGTTATTCCCCTTCCCCTCCCTACATTAGATATACAAGATTCAGGGTACCAAAATCAAATACGGTGACAACAGGGGATATACCATAGGGGGAAGAACATACAAAAGAAACAAAAAAAAAAATCACGTAGTACATTAAAAACAACAGCGATGAAGAAAAACCTTTTGTGACCATATCTTGGGATTCATTTCATTTAGTATCATCTTATATGGTCATATGTACATAGCTTTTGATCTTTTCTGACATATACTAATTATTGCAAATAAGGGAAACCATGGGACCTATGTTTCTTTGGGTCTGGCTTACTTCACTTAATATGATTTTTTCCAAGTCTTTACATTTTCTAACAGATAGGGCCATGTCATTCTTTCTGATGGAGGCATAGAATTCCATTGTGTGTATATACTACATTTTCTTGATCCACTCATCTACTAAGGGACATCTGGTATGGTGAATAATACTGTGATAAACATAACTATGCTGGTAGCTTTTATATGACCTTGTTTGTGACCATTTGGGTAAATGCCCAGAAGTGGGATTGCTGGGTCATAGGGGAACTCTATGTGTAGTCTTTTGAGGAGCCTTTATACTGCTTTCCAGTGCAGTAGGGTTCTCTTTTGGCCACATCTCCTCTAGCATCTGTTGTTATTAGATTTCTTGATTATAGCCATTCTAACTCTAGTGACGTAGAATCTCAGTGTTGTTTTGATTTGCATTTCTTTTATGACAAGAGAAGTTGAGCATTTCTTCACGAGTCTATTGGCCATTCTTTTGTGTGTGTGTGTGTGTGTGTGTGTGTGTGTGTGTGTGTCTGTCTGTCTGTGTGTCTGTGTGTCTGTGTGTCTGTGTGTGTTGGTTGTGGGGCTTGAACTCTGGGCTTAGGTGCTGTCCCTCAGCTCTTCAGCTCAAGGCGAGCACTCTACTGCTTGAGCCACAGCGCCACTTCCAGTTTTCGAGTGGTTTATTGGAGATAAGAGTCTCATAGACTTTCTTGGCTGGGCTGGCTTTGAACCATGGTCCTCAGATCTCAGCCTCCTGAGTAGCTAGGATTACAGGCGTGAGCCACTGGCACCTGGCATCTATTGGCCATTTCCTCTTCAGAGAAGTCTCTCTAAGTCTTTAGCCCACTTATTAATGGGGTAGTTGTTTTTAGGGGATTTAATTTTTTGAATTCTAAGTATATTTTAGGTATGAGGCCCTTGTCTGTTGTATGGCTAGCAAAGATCTTCCAATTTATGAGCTTTCTATTGATCTTGCTAGCTATGTCCTTTGCCATGCAGAAGCTCTGAAATTTAATGCAGTCCCATTTGTCCAACCTTTCTTTGATTTGTGGGAATTGACTTTTTGAAGAAATGTTTATAACCTTTCTTTTCTTGGTGGGGACCAGGCAGTTGGTCCTTTTCCCAATTAGGTACAGAGGCAGAAGGAAGGACTCTAGCCCTCCAGGTATGGCTTCCCATCCACTGATTCTCTCCTCAAGAATGAGGATGGGTGGTAGGGAGGGAAGTGGGGGAGAGATTGATGTATAAAATAGACTTATTTTAAAAATTTAATACTTATTATACATTCATGTAGCCTTTCTTGACTGTGGTAGGCTCTGGGAAATCAAGATTTCTAAAATGTTTCTGTCATTGAGTTTTTCTTAAGTGTTGTTATATAAATCAGTCATTATTGTATAATAAAGGTTTTTTGGGGGGAGGGAAACTTAATCTTTGTATAGTTATTAATACATACTAATTGTACAAAGTAATGGGTTTCATGTTTCCATCCATGTATATATCATGCTTCCATCATATCAGTCCTTCCCTCTACTTTTGCTCTTCCCCTCACTGCCTGCTCTCCTCTCCTCTCCCTTCCCTAATAGTGTACCTCAATGTAGCGTGCCACCAATGCATTGTCTCCTTTTCTGGCTCATTGTTTGGAGATGAGTAACAGGGCACAAAGAACTTGCATTAAATCCCATCACTTCCCAGTTAGTAGTGTTCAAGTTTTTAAGCCTCCATTTTCAACTGAGGAGAAAACCTTTTAGAGATACCCTCTCTCTTTCTATTCCTGTCTTCATGATTAAGATATCTGGTATTGGGAAGGTGGCATAAGATTTGTGGCAATTGCTGGGTACAGTGCCTCATGAAAAGTAAACAACCAGTAAGACATAGTCTCCTTTCCTCCTTCTAGCCTCTAAACTTGAAAGTACAACAAACACATAAACATGCTGTTAACATAGCTACAGTCTATATGGGCTATGACTCTGGGGACTAGGAATGTCAGTAAGATTGAACGAGAAGAATATGGATGGACAGGTCTTATTATTAACTTTTGAAAGTATGAAAATATGTGTAAAGCACAAATTAATGTAAATGATATAGATTAAATGTATGTATATATGCAAATTGAGTAATTTATGTTTCATTGACATAATTTCTTTTTTGAAGTTTGAAGAGTTGCTAATATAGGCAAAGAATGAATTTTCCTTTATTAAAAATTATAATTTTAATACATCAAAAGTTATCTTGTGATCCATTAAAAGGAGCTTAAATTAGTTTTTTAATATCAGTGATTTGCTTAGAAAGTTTATCCTTTTCTTGGTTTATTAATACAAAGTATCTTTCTTTTTAGATGGATAATTTTTAAAAGGCTTTATTTGATATTACTTTTATATCTTCATAAGCATTCATCTTCTATAGTCATGCCAAATATCCTTTGATAAAGATATTAATATCTGTAGTAAAAGTAACTATGATGACAACTTGAAAATATTTAAATATTATTCTAAATATACTACATATAAAATGTCAGACCTGATGGTCTCTGAAATAGAAAAGTCACAGAGTTCAAACCATGAATTCTGCATAGGTAAAGTTTCTGCAACAATGTTCCTATTTCTGTTATTTTGTCCCTAACACAAATGAATCTATCCAAATGTTACTATTATGATATTTTTCTTTGTGATATCAAACCATGAATTCTGCATAGGTAAAGTTTCTGCAACAATGTTCCTATTTCTGTTATTTTGTCCCTAATACAAATGAATCTATCCAAATGTTACTATTATGATATTTTTCTTTGTGATATTGAATTCATATTAGTTCACAAGCTCAGAAGTTTGAATGCGTTATTCCAGTTTATAAATGAGTGCCTTAGTTTGTATACTCTTTTTAGAGGATGCCATAGAATAGATTTTATTTTTCTTCTTAGTTAAATTCATTATCAAAGTGTTAGTACTAGAGATCATTTGGCATGTGATTCAGAGGAAATAGCAGGATATTACTTTTCCTCATAAAGGGTACAGTTATGTTTAAGCTTATATAAGAAGTTCAAATTTAGAATAGTTGTAAAACCAAGAACTTGTATTTGAGGAACTATTTTTTTCTTTATCATTTTATTTTATTTTAGTATGTTTTTTATTGTAAAAATACGGTTACAGTTACATGAATAAGGTAATGAGTACATTTCCGAGCATTGTTACCTCCTCCCTCCTCCTCTGTTTTTCTTTACCATCCCTTTCCATCACCTCTGAAGTTGTAAAGTTCGTTTTCAACATAGTGTCTTGCACATCTCATTGTTACAATGGTTCACCCTGTATCCTTATTTCAGCATTTTATTTCCCTTCCCCTCTCCAAATTAGAAAAATGTATATACAAGATGATATACAAGATGCAGGGCACCAGAATCAAATACAGTGAAAACAGGGGTTATACCATGGGAGAGAACATACAAAAGAAACAAAAAAATCTCATAGTACATCAATAGCAAGCAAGAAAGAAAAAAAACACTGTGTCCCTATCTTGGGGTTCATTTTGCTTAACATCATTTTATATGGTCATATGTACATAGCTTTTGACCTTTTCTGCTGTCCTAGACATATATAAGGGAAACCATGGGACCTATGTTTCTTTGGGCCTGGCTTACTTTACTGAATACAATTTTTTCTAAGTCTTTCCATTTGCTAACAAATGGGGTGACTGAGGAACTATTTAATTGATATTAATATCTAATTATTTGAAGTAGTCTTAAGATATTTAGATTAACATTTTTCACTCACCAATGATTATGCGTAAAGAACAAAATAATTTTAACTTAAATTTATTTTAGCTAAGTATTTAATCAGTATTACAGTGTAAATAAACTTCATTTCCAGAAAAGTAACTTATCTTTTTATTTTGCCATGGCAAAATGTTTCTCAGTAATTTTCCTTTATCTATGGCAGGAGTCAATCCTTTGTGAGTAAGTAGAGTGGTATTTAAAATTAAGATATATGGGTTAGATTCCAAAATGAAGACCTTAAATGTTGTTCTTGGCTCTTACATAGACTGAACTTAGATAAGTCCTGTTAGTTTTTCTTTTATGCCCTCACATTAGAATCGAATTTTGACCCACTAAGCATGTGAAGAAAAGACTCATGAAAGAAATCAAGTGATTTTGTTTGACATGAGAAAGGGAAATCTTGTAGCAAAGATCTTTTCTTTGGAAAAGAGGACAAGCAAGAAACTTGATTTACAAATGTACTATGTGATTTTTTTTTTTGTTTCTTTTGTATGGTCTTCCCCATGGTGTAACCCCTGTTGGCACTGTATTTTATTCCGGTGTCCTGCACCTTGTATATACATTTTTCTAATTTGGAGAAATAAGGATACAGGTTGACCCATTGTAACAATCAGATGTACAAGACACCATGTTGAAAATAAACTTTACAACTTTGGGGGAGAGGGGATTTGGGGAGGTAGGGATGAAAGGGATAGTAGGGGAAAAACAAAGGAGGAGGTAACAATGCTCAATAGGAAAGTACTGATTACCTTGCTCATGTGATTGTAACCCCTCTGTATAGTATCTTTACAATAAAAATATAAAAAAACTGATTCACAAAAGAGTGCCAGTATATATATGGAGTATATAAGTAAGCAGTGTGTAGATTATTTCTAGTATGTAGCGATGACAATATATTAAGAAGCACCTAGATAAACTATATTTTTGTGAAACTAGATGACATAAAGAGAACTAAAGAAAAAAAGATGAAATAATGGGTAAGCAAGGCAAAAGAGTACTAGAAAAATTTTATGGAAAATATTCACGTTTTACAGTACTTTTTTATTTTGATATTCAAATGAAAGTTGTAGATAACCAACAGAAATGTGAAAAAAGATAATTCAAGATAAGGAAACACATTTCTTAGGACTTTAAAAATATATTTATCATCCTGGAATGTTTTCCTAATAAAAAGTCTCTATATAAAGATAAATGTTGCAGTATATTTGAAATATCTTAGAGCTCTTAGGAAGTGAACTTCTGCCTTACCAAATTACAGTCCATAAACTATTTGTTAAGCACAATAGTGTAAAATTGTATTTTTTTCTTTATGGACTATATAACAAAGAAAACAGGAAGTACATGAAAATTTTGGTTTCTACTCAGTAGAAATTTTGGGTCATAACAATTGCAAGTATTTTTTTGAATCCATTGCTTGAAATTTATGTGTGTGCATGCGTGCCAGTGTGTTAGTCCTGGGATTTGAACTCAGAGCCTGTGTGCTGTCCGTGAGCTTTTTTTTTGTGCTCAAGGCTAGTACTCTACCATTTGAACACAGCTCTACCCATAGCTTTTTAGTAGTTAAAGAGTTCCATTGACTTTTCTGCCCAGTCTGGCTTTGAATGACAATCTCAGCCTTTTGAGTAGCTAGGATTACAGGTAATTTATGTTTAGTAGAATTGATACTTTTGTGAGTATTGATCTATGAATTTTAACAAAGGCATTATCGTTTTGTAACTTCTAGAAGAATTTGTAAAAGAAGGGGTTATGGGAATTGATAATTTATGTATTTCAGAATCAGTTAATAGGAATTGCTGGAATTTGTATAGATTATAAGAAATATGCTTTTAAAATTGTATTTTGTTTGTTTCAACCCCCATTGCATTATACTTTTTCATATATTTTCTAAAGTAATGTCAGAACATTAACTATTTTATGTAACACCAGATAAATTTTGTATGCTTTTGTCCATATATAATCCATTGCATTTGGAGTTATGTGGCTGTATGTTTTCAGCAAATACATTTGGATCACTTCAGGGGTTCTTCTGGACCATTCTAATTTGAGCACACATATACACTTGACCTCATTTAGAGCCTTCATTTATTGATAGAGTGGATAGCTATACCCTGGAAGTTACATAAGCTATTCACATTTTTTAGGCTCTGATTCAAGAAGTGATGGTAGTTAGTACTAAACAAGAATTAAAAAGGTACCTTTTAAGAAATGTTTAGGTGGCCTATGTGTGGTGGTACATGTTACTTGGGAGGCAGAGAGGCAGAGATGGGAAGGATCCTGGTTTGAGGACAACTTGGGCAAAAGTGCATCTCAACAAAGAAGCCATTGTAGTGTTTTTTATTGGTAATCTCAGCTATGTGGGAGGCATATGTAAGAGGATTGTGATCAAGGTCAGGCACAAAGGTCAAGGCTCTATCTGAAACATAACTAAAGCAAAAAGTGTCAG